TGAATATTTAGATCCTAAACAGAAGATACAACTGTCTGCATCAAGGTCTCTTATGGAATTCAGCCAGCCTTTGGTCTATGTAATATACATAAAGTTTGGATAGCTGGATAGGGAAACAGAGTCGTGCTTAAAGGTGAAAAATGCCAACCATAAGATACTGACACAGTGGTTGCTTGGTTCCTTGTTCATGGAAGAATGAAGATTAGTTGGAAGTGATGTCATACCATATAGAGTGTAATGAAGGCTAACTTCCCTTTTCTTAACCAAGAACATTTTTTCTAGCCTTTAAAGCTGTTTGGAGTTGAATGGCGCTAAAATGAATGGTTTTAACGCTATAAGTTCTATCGTGCGCATCAACTTTTCTTGTTTCCTCCAAAAACATAATAATGCAACTTCTGAACGCATAAAAATTAGGCGTCTTGACATCAATTGAAGCAGTCAAGATGACCGAATGAGAACAGTACGAAAGATTTACGACAAAAGAGGTGAAGAACCTCTAGAGAGCCAATTCTGTGAGACGAAACGAAACCTTTCTCAGCCAATATCGGTCCATCGAAGAAATCCTCAAATTTCGTCCATTGGTCACTCGTGATAGTGCTACTTCAAGTAAGAATGTTGTGATTCGTCTATTATGTGATAAAAGAGCATAGTGCAACTTCCGTTAAGCGTAGACGTAATTCATGCGGCTTTCTAAGCTATAATGTAAACTAAAACCTTGACAGTAGGGTTCATCGTTAGTCTTAAAACAGTAAGATAGAGAAACTTATGTAAAATATGTCGAATCATAAGAATTATACACTTATACTAGCCGATTAAATTACTGTTTATACTTTAACACTCCACATGGTAAATTCTGCTTGACCGCATTGATTGACCTCTATTGACTTGCTGATTCTGGCATCGGACACGTTGATGCTGCCTGCGTTGCATTTCAGTGTCGTTTGTTCGACGTGGCATACCACTGTGATGTTTTGAGTGATGGTTATTTCATCGAATTCTCGATAGGAACACCTTCATTCATGAGGGTGCAGATATCCTACTTTTATTAAACTATCAGTGTACTATGCTACAGTTCATCCTGTCCTGCGATAAGGCTATGAGATATGCCATCGATTGAAGAAGACATGGAGTGGTTACGAGATTCTGATCACACGTGTCTTTGTGGCACCGCTTGCTTATGGTGGAATCGCTGTGTGAGCAATGTAGGTGTCAGGTGAAGAGCAGGGAGGTCAGTCGATATGGTTTTGAACCTTCACCGACTAAGATGGCCTGGACATGGGCTGAACATCCCCAGCCACTGCCTTCCTTGGCGTACCATACTAGGAGAAGTTAGATTAGATTGAAAGAAGGTTCGGAGTGGCCAGATTAAGAAGTGGGATCAGTACATAAGGTCTCTAACTGTTGGTGTGAGTTCCGTAGGGGGTATAGACCATCTGGATGGGGTCCCCGAAATGAAAGGAATTAGTGGTTGAAGACTCTCAGTGAGATGGCTGAAAATCGGTCACAATGGTGCAGGTGTATTCACTCTTTGACATCCTTTAAGGCTTGAATGTCTTAACCCACCCTAATCTTTGAATCCCCTTCTCACTGGTACATCTTTGTCTATTTTGATACCAATCTTTCTTATCCACTTGCTCTTTACATCCTACAGGGAAGTGTGGCAACTTGAACCAATGCACTTGTCTAAGAGGTTCTAGGTTGATTTTGTTTATCTGTCTGACATTCTACTAATCAACCATAACCAAACAGGAGGAAACATGGGTCATAGATGTGAGTCCTGGTTATTGCATAGCAACGGACTTATTAACACATCTTCAAGAACCAATATCGCAATCACTTCAATTTTTGTTCCTGCGATACGATCAATTAGACAGTCTACACCATTACACTGTCATTAATATGGGGCATTTGAAAATTACCAGTGTCAGTTGCATCATCCTCGCCATTATGCACAGACCAATTTGTATTCCATTGACATAGGAGTAAAATTTGGGCACTGTGGTCGATTGAAATTCCATTTCAGTCTGTTTACTAGAAATATCATATGGTGAAACAGTATCAGTTACTGGATAACGTTTTCGACATAACTTACTGTCTATATCAGGTAAATCAAAAACTTTCATACAGAGTTTATATAGTCCTAATTTTCTCTCCTTTTTTTGATGACAAAAGTAGTAGAATTCTTCATATATGACAATGAAAAATGGTTAGTTTTGACATAACTAGCTTTTACACAAATACACCGATCGACATGGCTCTAGAGGCAGTTAGAAATGGGCCTAAGGATGACAAAGAGCTTACACATCGAACTAAGGTGGCGATCGAAAAAATCATGGTATGAGTACGACTGGGCTTAACATCTACAGTATGTAAGCAAACTGAAGGTGCTGCCATTGGCTTATATACATGATTCTTCATCAGCGGACATGCTGACACCACTATTGCATAAGGTTTGCAAGGAAGAAAGGAAAGGTACCTGCTGATTAAAAGAACGACTACCTTGTCAAACACCCAAAGAAGGGTGATCTAAGTCTTTGCAAGAACAAGAACTGGGGCGGAATCATGCTCCTGTCTACCCCAATAAAAATATTAGGCCGAATCATCCTAGAGAAACTTTAAAGTACTCTGGATTCAAAGTGACGACTGGAACAGGGTGACTGGCTTCAGGAAGAACAAGCCATGTGTAGATCAAATCACAACGCTAAGCTACGCATCATCATGGAATAGAGCATAAAGTGAGAGTCAACCCTCTACCTCAACTTCATCGATTTTAAAAAAACCCTCAACAGCTTCGATTGAGAAGTGATTTGTCAGGCAGCTGCTTCAACACTACGATTTTAGTGACATAAGCCTTTATCAGCCACATTCAACAGCTATATGCTAGGTAATGCTACATGCGAAGTGATTTACAATAGAAAGTTCAGTGATATCTTTGAAGTAAAGACAGGGGACAGCAGTAAGACAAGGTTGCCGCCAACTATCCCCGATGATCTTCCTGATTGTGGTCGACTACATCATGCAGCAAACTGTGAGAGGCTAGAAGATGGGCATACGCTGTTTGACCAATGCGATGAGAAGACCCAAAAAGATTTGGATTACGCCGATGATGATTTATGTCTGGTATTGGGGAAGCTCGAAGATCTACAGACGAAAACCAACAAGTCGGCGGAAGATACAGGGCAGCAGAGATGGGAATCCCTACAGGTGAACGCCTACGCTCACTAGATACAGAAGATCGATCAGATGGCCAAAATAACAAGAATAAGTAACAAGGAACTCTGGCTGGTTGGCAACGAACCAACCAACCAAGAACCCACCGTCCAACAGATATACAGAAGAAAGTGGAGACGGATTGGATTGGAAATATACTGAGAAGACCATTTAGTGACATCACGCTGCAGGCCGTATAGTACAACTCGAATGGGAAACGATGAGTTAGGTGTCCGACAATAACATGAAGGAGATCGAGTAAGGAAGAAATGAAAGGTTGTTGGCAGTCATGGAGCCAGGGTGAAAAGACTGCATAGAAGAGAGCGCAGTGGAGACATGCTACTGAAGCCCTATGTTCCACCAGGAACCCGAGGGACAAATAACAATAAAATAAACGCAATTCTAAGTTAAAGCCGGTGTTCCAATGTGCTATTAGCCCGAGTGTGAAACCACAGACAGCTTAAGCGTGATAGTTTACAAATGCTCATCTTCAAAAGTTTAACGTCAAGCGAAGCACTCTGCAATGTGGTTTCTCCTCGTTTTTGCACTAACAGTTAGCATAACTGTGGCTACAACTGGATAACTGATTCACACACTTGTTTATTTTGTCAGGTTATATGATGAATAGATGAATATAAGAAAAACTCATATCGAAACGTTTACAAGTAGTAAAACGAATGAATTCATTGAAGACGCAAAACTGTCACCATAGATTGTGTAGTCATTATAATAAACTAGTTGCTTGGCACTAGACTAGAAAATAAGCTGAACAGGGGGAGAACAATGATAGTTGACCCTAACCCTACAGAATTCCAGGATAAGTTTGAAATAAAATTCCATGAATTATTGAATGTTTCTATGACTGCGTATTTCTTTGTGCACACATATAGTTTAAGTTATTCAATCCCTTTAAACTGCAACAGTTGAATAGCGTCATTTAGTATGAAACAGATGTCTACGGTATCTACTTTAGGAAGGAAGGTAAACTCTAGACCACTCTTCAAAGACACAAAAAGCAATCTAGGACCATTACATTTGTCCTCATAGTTATTTTCATTTTAACTGGTAAAAGCAACTATCAGAATACTTATCTGTTCATTGTAGAAATAAATCTCCCAGTCGAATATTTCGTGCCACTTAAGACAGTTAGTTCTAGTATCTTTGGGAAATTCATAGTTGCAGTATATCTGTACTTAAATAATTTAGGTGGACAGTCTTTAATTGATTGGATGTGGCTTCGAACTCCGACTCAGCTATTCAGGTTTAGATGAAATCTACCACCTAATAAACAATATATCTTATAGCCTGTTACATTACTGAGGTGTTCAGTGATCCAGTTTTTAGAAAAACCGGCAAATAAAAAAAAATATCCGAGGATACTGTCTTCTAAAATAACACGGAATTTGTTTGTAGGCACTTTTTGTGCAAATATAAATGTGCAGAGATTTTAGAGAACCAATTCCTATTTAGAATATCTGGCCTACAGAGAAAATGATCTAGCTATGGAATAAATTCTGTACATTAATGGGTAAATCACTCAGCAAGTATTCTAGGGTCTGCTGTTTTTCATTCTAATCTGTCTTAACCCAGCTTTTCGCCTTATATATGTATATACATATATGTTATTGACTGCTAAGATGCAATTTCTGAAACTAACGTCAAGCAACATGTAATTAAGAATAGCAAACAATGGGCAAATTGCACAAATTACATTGATTGAGGAGCTGGTGATTTATCCGAAATAATATTTCAGTCAGAGAAACACGATACAACAGCAAAAGATGACTCACTTGCAGATTTGATGCGAAATAATAATGTTTATATATGAACTAGTTTTTTTAGTATCGTGTTGAACATAGAGATATGTGTTACTTGAAATACTGTGGAGTTAAATGGTATTCAAATGTTTTCTTGAAGATATAAAATTGAGTAAGACAAAATCAGCTCAAAAGACCTCCATTAACAAAAATATATCACAGTTTATTTGTTAAACTCTTCTACCAATCAGCAAGCGAACTACTGAGTTCTGATTGGTAGGGATATTTACCAATCATAATCAAGTGTTGTTGCTCTAGTAAACTTATGGATACTATAGGACTAATAATTTGGTGTTATTATCTGGTTAGTGGCCTTATTACACGGTCACAGAATTTTTCTGAGAGAAGATTCATATTCTGTTTTATTTTCTGAATAAGAGTTATTAGTTTGACCTAGTATTTTTTGTCCTCCGAAGAAACGAAAAGACAAAGAAGAAGCAGAGTTTGTCAACTGGTGGTGTTCCCTTGAAAGAGACAAGAAGCGTCTATTCCACATGAAATTTTCTAGGAAAGTTTTGTTCTGATCATTTTTTTATGATTTAGGTAAATTTTAATTCAGTCCCTCTGTTTAGGGATTATTTTCGCTAACCAGTTACAGGATCTAGAAAGGCTGTTTGTTTTTTTATTACAAATCCTTAACAGAGTGAACAATGTACATAAATATAATCGAATATGTAGGATTCTCACCTTTACTGGACAGATTACCATGCAGCCACTGATTCGAAATCAAGCAGTCTCACTGTTCCTCTTTCAGTCATTTATAGACATGAAATGACTATCTTCTTATATTACTATCCTAAAGTACTTGTCACTGACATAAATTAAAAGGATATCACCTTGAGATTTGAAATTCCGTGTATCTATCTTAATTTCATCAACTAAATTACAACCAAACTAAGTAATTTGTGCGAAATCGACTTCAATCGGCGATTAGAACTCATTTTCATAGAGGGTAAAAATAATAAAAAGAAAAATCTATTATAGTTGACCTGGTTGTGACTAGCAGAAGAAATCAGGACGCGCTTCTCATCGTACGTGGGACTCGTTGGCTAGATGTATCTACACCCCAGTGAGTGATATTATTCCTACTGAGACTCGAACCTCGTGCCGATCGCTTCAAACACCAAAGCGTTACCCTTTAGGCAACGGAGGCACGATAGCCACTTCTTGTACAATGGCTAAAAGTTATTACTATTCACTGATGCATACTTGTAATTCTCCTTTGTTTTATTCGATAGAATTGTTAGACCTGCATTGGCATATGAGCTTCTGTGCAAATGGCTCAATATTGCCTGAATGTTTATTATGGTAATTTACTTCGCTGTGAAACGTAGAAGGATCCGGTCGAACAATTCGATCCAGTAAAACAATGGAGAATTATAAGCATAAACATAAATAGGGGGAAAGATTTATTCTCGAAACAATGGACAAAAAGATCGCAATAAGCAGTTCCCCATAGCTATCTTTGAATATCGGGCTGTAGAAGAAACTAAAAACTTGAGTAATTCTATCTGTAGGTTTACGAAGGATATCAAAAACATCAATAAAAGCGAAATGTGCAGCATGGCATCGAAAAATGGAGTGAGAACGGTAAATTTGAACGAGTAAAGTACTGTGATGCCTCATAAGAGCACTATTGTTACTTCCTACCATATTCAGAAGGATTACTCAATGTCTATCCGTTATATATTGTTCCCATCATATACCAGCCAAACTCCATTGATGAAAACTTGTTATCTTTGAAATGTAGATTCGTGAATGAATTCAGCCTTGAAAATTGAAGTAGGCCATCACCTGTCAATCCTCTTCGTGAATGTTTCTCGTCATAGCAAGATGAAATGGAAAGTATAGTTGACGGTAACATGAGCAGAATATTTATCTTCTCTTATCAACAGGATTGATTGGCGTTAACTGTTGTAAACTCAGACCAACTTGGTTGCAGGGAAGACCTATCCAGCTACAGCTTCTCTCATTATACCTCTTCTTTCTGAATACTCAAAACTCTTTATTATTGGATAAAGAGAAGTTTGTTTCTTCTTATGATGGAATTCATCATGGACTGACATCAGTTGGAGGAATATTGGAAATCTGAGAGCACTCACTACACAGCTGTTGCATCCTAGTATGGCACTCCTCAGTAGTGTGCACTCATCACCCCGACAGCAATCGGACCTACAACCTTCATGTTCCGAGGCCACCACATTACCATTGAACTACTAGGTCGGAATCCAATCGTGCATATTTCCAACTTCTGTCAGTTTATGATATGGTGTGAACTTCATCCACTGTCATTGTTGAGTAACTGTCGTCATGTTCGACTCAGTTGACTCCACTGGTTCACAAACCTTGAGATAGAATAAAAGTTTGTTTCGTTTTAGTATTTGTATACTTACGTTCTGTAGTGCATTATTCTGAGTATTTCATTGTAAGTTTCTTGGTGAGATGGTTCGCCTCAGTAATATTCTCTTCATTATCAGACTCCATTACAAATTTGTTTATAGACGACAAATTTCTTACTTTGTTTAAGAGATTTCTGAGTTCCGGCTCCTTATAGCCAATGAGAAGGCTTCTATTTCAATCCACATGTTGATATAACCAGATGCCTTTCATGTAAGTCGCCTTTCCAGTTATACATTCACTTCTGCTAGTCATATTCAGAACAAAGTAAGTGTGTGATCAGGTTTTTCGAAATGTATTGGGCAAATGCACCACATTGTTCAAGTAAACTTCTGATTACGCTATCGTAATAACTATTTGTGATGGCCAGAAAGAATAAGCAACAAGGAACTCTGGGAACCAACCAACCAAGAACTCATCGCCCAACAAATATGTAGAAGAAAGTAGAGATGCGTTGGCGTACACTGGGAAGGCCGATTGGGGACGCTCCAGGCCTTCGAGTGGAATCCAAAGGAGAAACGACTAGTTGGGCGTCCGAGGCGAGGGTGACATGGAGGAGACCGTGTGAGGAAGAAATGAAACGTGGTGGGCAGTCATGGAGTGAGGTTCATAAGACTGCTGAGAATAGAGTGCAATGGAGGCGTGCTACTGAAGCCCTACGTTTCACTAGGAACCCAAGGGAAAAAAATAATAACTATTTGTGCAATGAGGGTGTCCTCTATCTTGTGTTAACACATTTATTATCATCCTTGACAAAGACAGTCTGAGCATGGTGACCATGATAGTACCGAAACGTTCTGTCCTTTAGCTTCCATACCTATGCAATCCCAGGTTTGTTAAACTGTAGTCACAAATCATAAGTAATCCAAACTGCTTTAGAAATATAACTCACTGATTTGAAAATCAGTAGCCCAATTAGTTACATGGTGATAACCATGATGCTGTGATATATCTTAACTAAAAATAACCATCAATAACTGAATGCATTTTCTTCTACAAATTAGACCTTTATGTGTGTGCGTCTGTGCATGGTTGTGAATGTAACGGTATTGAACCTGTAAAAAGAAATACTTTTCTGTCATTTGATCAATACCACTGAGAAGTGAACATTAATATAGTTGAGCGAAAAAAGTGTTTTCATCAATGACTGATATGTCAACAAATGCACAAAATCTCATGTGTAATTATCAATAATGAAAATGTTAGCAGTGAAGCCAACAGAACCAATTTCGGAACGAGAATTAAACAAATAGCAGAATAAATTGGACTCACCATATAACTTGACTTTTCATTCAACAGAATCAATCTAAAATTTCAAAGAGTGATTAGCAGCAAAACTTGCTTGAAGTTCTTGCTGTGCATTCTGGGAAAGAGTTAAACATCCATAAACTCAGAGGGAATAAGAATATGATAATGAACTGAGGCGAATAAAACAAACAAGCAGTGACTATGTAGTAGCCTCTCGCTTCACAAATAAGTAACTCATCAGTTACTTCATAGATGCAGATACACATCCATAATAACTGCCAAAAAATGCGAGAATGAAGTCTGATGTTTCCTGTCGACTGACCCACTTCCAACTAACATCACTGCAGTGTCAAGCAACTTACCTTGGTGGATTAGTCACAAACCTGATCGATAGACTTCAGTCAATGTCGAGCATTCACAACCTGACTTGATTAGCTTAGTAAATCCTATTTAAAGCTGGTGACAACCTCAAACAGATCACATCGAAAATTTCAAAGTTTTCAAAATGAAAGGGATCAAAAATGCAAAAGATGTGAGGGAAGAGAAATATCAAGCAACTAGTGAGTTGCTCAAGTATACGACTCATCAAGAAATAAACGCCGACATAACTGTACATAAAAATCATGAGTTGAAGAAAAGATGATGCAGGCGATCTGGAGAGAGAAACGTTGGGAAATAACTCAGATTGGAAGCGCATAGATGTGCAGACTTCAGCTAAATGTAAAACATATAATACTCATTGCTTCTTACTTACCTCTTGAGAAACTATGAACTGTAGAATACTGCACTGCAATGTAAGTCACAACTGTACACATACGAATTCTCCCGACAACACACATATACTTAATGTTGTGTTCATCATTAACTGACATCACTTGGGGAAGCATTGGAAACCTGGTAACACTGGACAGCTATTTCGTCCTAGTGTGGGACTCCTGAGTGTTATTTCGTTGATGGAGAGAAGCAGGAAACTGCGAACCATTTAAATGTGACCCAGTGGCTGGGTGGTTAGTGCGTCTGATGTGAAACGTGAAGTTCCTGAGTTCAGTCTCTAGTGGATGTGATCGTAAGTGCATACAACTGAGAAGTCACACACTAACACGAAGCAGCCGTCAAGTGTTACCAAGTTTCCAATGGTTCTCCCAATTCCACCTTCAGCTTGTACACAAGAGGAAATATTGTCAAACAAGGGTAGCATCAGCCATTCAGGAAAGGACATCAGAAATATCAACAAAAGCGAAATATGCAGCATGGCATCGAAAAATGGTGTGAGAACGGTAAATTTGAACGAGTAAAGTACTGTGGTGCCTCATAAGAGCACTATTGTTACTTCCTACCATATTCAGAAGGATTACTCAATGTCTATCCGTTATATATTGTTCCCATCATATACCAGCCAAACTCCATTGGTGAAAACTTGTTATCTTTGAAATGTAGATTCGTGAATGAATTCAGCCTTGAAAATTGAAGTAGGCCATCACCTGTCAATCCTCTTCGTGAATGTTTCTCGTCATAGCAAGATGAAATGGAAAGTATAGTTGACGGTAACATGAGCAGAATATTTATCTTCTCTTATCAACAGGATTGATTGGCGTTAACTGTTGTAAACTCAGACCAACTTGGTTGCAGGGAAGACCTATCCAGCTACAACTTCTCTCATTATACCTCTTCTCTCTGAATACTCAAAACTCTTTATTATTGGATAAAGAGAAGTTTGTTTCTTCTTATGATGGAATTCATCATGGACTGACATCAGTTGGAGGAATATTGGAAATCTGAGAGCACTCACTACACAGCTGTTGCATCCTAGTATGGCACTCCTCAGTAGTGTGCACTCATCACCCCGACAGCAATCGGACCTACAACCTTCATGTTCCGAGGCCACCACATTACCATTGAACTACTAGGTCGGAATCCAATCGTGCATATTTCCAACTTCTGTCAGTTTATGATATGGTGTGAACTTCATCCACTGTCATTGTTGAGTAACTGTCGTCATGTTCGACTTGGTTGACTCCATAGGTCACGACTTCTCATTGGAATTTCGGGAATCTCCTCTTGAAGCTAGTCAGTAATGAGCGCTAAATTAATTTTATGTGGAGTTTTTTGGATATTTATTAAGCGATTTCATGTTAATCTACTGCGGTCAAACGTAATCCATATCATAATTTTGGTACAGATAGGCTCAATTAAAACATTCGACACCACCGTTCTCAAACCTTGTCGAAGAGAACTTTGAATGACCATCAACGTGGAATGCAACTAGTGGTGCCAGGATCATATTCTCATGATATGTCAGACAAAGGCTTATAAAATGCAACGAATTCATCACAACGGTCCGTAAACTGGTGCAGATTAAACTATCGAAAGAACATTATTTCAAAAGCTGTCTTGAGCGAAAATTTACTTCTACCCACTGGATTAGCAAGAACCATTAAATATCAACCCATAGAGAGGGAGAATATTCACGACTGGAATGCAAGATATTGTGATGATATTACAAAAGATAAATAGGCTGTTAAGTATTTTACAAATCTGCCATTGTATCGGCGGTAATTCAGCGGTGTCTGCCGTGAACTGTAGCATTCAACACTTCACACTATTTAGCATACGTAGACACACACAAACAGACAAACATATTTGGCTACAAACGAGGACATTCGATCAAAACGAAGCAGTCAGATCATATATTCTAGCCAGTGGGATAAAAGTAATCTAACTCTGACACATTGATAAATATTCTATAGTTGACAGAAATTAGTTGAAAAGAATTTTGGCAATTCAACAGAAACCCCGTTAACCTGAAAACAGTCATATGTTGTCCTGAAAATTTTATCAAACAAACTACTCACGGAGTAGTTCTGGATGAAGCAAGGACATATTATTATTACTTTTGTTTTTATTTTTCCCTTGGGTTCCTAGTGTAACATAGGACTTCAGTAGCATGTCTCCATTGCACTCTCTTCTATGCAGTCTTTTCATCTTGGCTTCATGACTTCCCACAATCTTTCATTTCTTCCTTACGCGATCTCCCTCAAGTTACTGTTGAATGCCTAACTCGTCGTTTCCCATTCGAGTTGTACTAGACGACCTGGAGCGTGATGTCACTAAATGGTCTTCTCAGTATATTTCCAATCCAATCCATCTCCACATTTTTATAGCCAGAGCTACTTATTTTTATTCCTTCTGACCATCTGATCTTCAGTATCAAGTGAGCGTAGGCGGCAGCTGTTCATGAATGATTTCTGCAGCTTCCTGGAAACGATTTCAACATCATGTAGAAGCACTGACTTGAATGAATTAGTGTTGAAAATCCGCATCTTCTTGACTATGCTAAGTGTAGTAGAACTCCACATTGATTTCAGATTAATGAAGGCCTGTCTTACTTTTCAGATCCTGGTTTTGACATCCTCATCTGTGCTGTCTATAGTTGAGACGATGCTTCCTGGACAGAAAGGTGAAAAAGACAACTTCGTTTCTATTCCTCCCGAGAGAGAACAAAATTGTTTCTCCAGAATAAGATGAATTCATTTCACTCCACGCCTTCCATTTACTTATAGTCAAACTAAATTATAAATTTAGATATTATGAGTACACAAAAAACTCCAAGCCTCTGTCAGAAGAGGCGTTGAAGTTCAAACCGGACGAATGCAGAAAACAAGAATTACAGAACCTGATCACCGTGAATCAAATAACACGGGAAGGCATGAGCATTGATTAAAAACAGTATGTACAAGCACATGGAAGAACTTCAAATCATGACAGTCTCAAACTGACACATTCCAAGTTTCTACCACTCAATGATCTGTCAAAGATTCAAACAAATCAAATGTCCTCTTGAAACATGAATTTCTTATCCTTACTTCAATAGATGGTATGTGGACTGGTTAATGAAGGCAGAATATGGAGGGTATCAGTCAGCATCCAATGAAAATTCTAAATTCCTCTAAAACAGCATACTTCAATTCGATGTCGTCTCATCATTTACAAACAGGTGAGTGGGTGAAACCACAAAGATAATCTACTAATAATGTGATGCACATAGACAACTACTGATTCTGTGTACAAACCGTGTTTGGTTTCAGGCATCGTGCCTTAGTGGTAGGTAATATGGATAACCCTTCAGCACTGGATATGATGATTGAGGGATTTGGGTAGCAGTGGGAACACAATCACTCACTCAGGTGCATGCACATACAGATAGATGATCAGTGCCAGATGTGAGAAAACATGTGTGCTGGATTCCAGTGCTAGTCACCACAAAAGCAGTTAATCTCAACATGATGAATACTGAAGCAATATCAAGGCTTCCACATACGAGCCTACATTACAACAGACGTCAGTCAACTCGACACAGTATAACGACGGTAAATTACAAGTAGCAATGAATAAAATACCATCGAATTCCGTGAGATGATAAGGTCTTCATAACGTCACGATTATGCTGTATCCCATATGACATTTATATCGATAACCCTTAACACTCGTGCTCTACTGAGGATGAAATTACCATTAGTCACCAGTTAAATAAACTCCCTACTACGTCACTCAACACATCACTTTCACTCACATACCCAATGGTGGATTCTCAATCACTGAACAATGACTATACCAACATCCAGTTGAAACAATCAACTGCTAGACAATTATAATAAATACATTCCACATTCCAAAATATCATCATCTCTATCTCCAATTACAAATACACAATCACAGAGTAGTAGGAGATTGATAGACAGTCAGTAGGTTCTAATCAACGGATATGACACGTGTTGATATCTCATCACCTCACACACGAAACTTCAAACTTTCATCTCTATCACTACTGAAATACGACCAACTGAACTCTCCGTCCCTCTGCTGTCACATTATCAACCGACTACATGAATTCCTCTCCACCTCAGTCAAACATTGACGAGATACTTAGTCGAATGCCTCTCAACCTATTCTCAATAGGTGATGTACACTGTCCAACATCTCCACTAGATACAGTCTCAAGGTAGTCCCACTGATTCTCAGTACAGTGTGGCTGATTGTTCAGGAT